GGGGGAGGCGGGGCAGGGACTGGCACGTGCTGCCCCCCATGAACCCCGACGGCGACGAGTACTCGCACACCACGGTGAGGACGGGGTGCTCCAGTTTCTCGGTGCAAGGTCGGGCGGCAGGCGCTGCGGGGCGGGCCGGGCCGCTGGGCCTTCCCTGCCGCTGACGGCTTATCTCTTGACCCTCAGCAGTTACTCGCGGCCGCGAACACGCCCGCTCAGGTCGCCTGACGGCATTGACTCTCACCTGTGATTCGCTGCACTTCCAGTAACACTGCTGTTGGCGTCATTTAAGCTTAAGCGGTCTTACATTCTTTCAACTTCGCAGGACCGTCTCTGGAGGAAGACACGCTCCAAGACGTGGTGGGGGCTCGGCTGCGCGGGAGCGGACGCCAACAGGAACTTCGACTTCCACTGGAGAGGTGTGTGTGTGTACCGACTGAATGAGTTTGGGCGTACATTCTGGGGTGCGCGTCAACAACTAAACGGCTGGTCCTTGTTCCCAGAGGTGGGCGCCAGCTGGTCGGCGTGCTCCTACACCTACGCCGGCAGCAAGGCCTTCTCAGAGCCGGAGGCACGCGCCGTTCGGGACTACCTGCTCGCCAACAAGGATCGCATGAAGATGTACCTCACGTATCACAGCTACGGGAACGTGAGTAAAAACAATTTAAGATCGATCAGGAACACATTTCATGAACAATGGCGTTTTTTACGAAAATAATGAAATTTATTTCCCAGTTTCTGTTGTACCCGTGGGGTTACACCAGCACCCTGCCTAACGACTGGAAGATACTGGTGCGTATGCTTTCCAGCCCTGTACTGTAAGCAATACATAGTAACACATAGAGATGGCAAAGGTAATCCCATCTTATTTCCGTGACAGGACTCGCTGGCCAAAAAGGCTAACAAGGCTATGGTGGCGGCGGGCAGCGACCCGTACACTATCGGCAGCTCCACTAATGTCCTCTGTAAGTACTTATCCGTTTGACTCGTCCAACATCACACTCTATCTCTCCTCCCTCCCCGAACACATTGTGCTCATAGAGATTGGGTGGTGAAGAAGAGAACAAGAGGCCTGTTCTCGACATTCCAGGTGGCTGTTTCTCACCGCGCCCTTTCATGGTTCTACTGTACCACATGCACGCGTGCGGGCGGGTTTGCCTATTGTCGCTGCCTATACGTCATACGGCTCCTTGTGGCCCCGTGCGAGTAGGCAACCCGCCTACACGCGTGCGTTCGGCACAGAGTGACTACGGAAGTGCGAAGTGCGCGGCGTAATTCAGCCACCTGGTAAAATGAAATAGCGCAGGGGACAGCAGTCAGTAACGTCTGTACCCACAGAAAAATCATTTCTTGCGTCACGTATATCAGGGGGCTGGCTAGCCCCGCGCACTTCTGTAGTTGTACTGTGCTGCGCGCAGACGAGACTGCGGGCGGGCTTGCCTATCGCCCCTGTCTACGGCGCCTAACGGGTCGAGCGAGTCAACCCGCACTCACTCGTGCGTGCGGTCGTGCATAACTACATCAGACAGAAGTGAGGGAGGTTAATCGGCCACCTGATATTTGTACAAACTACGAGTTCAATCGAGTTCAATTTTCTCAACAACGCAAACATGTAATTGAAATGAGATCATTCATATTTTTTTTTTGAAACATGAACTTGTGCAAACCCGCGAGTTCAAATCTACTAAAACACGAGCAAATTTACCTAAAATAAGAAAGGATTTTTCTGGGTGTAGTTTCTTACCGACAGCTGGTTCCAGACGGACGACGACACTTCCCTGCTCCCTGTTCTAGGATTTGTTTGTACAAAACTATTCTAGTGTTTTCGATAGGTCAGGTATGGTCAAAAATTTTGGCCCGACACCATCTAAAACAGCTTCGGGAGGACTAAAATTTCAGGCCGTACCCGACCTATCGAAAACACTAAACTATTTTCTCATTATTGTCATCGCGTTTCTTCGCGTTGCTTTCAGACGCGGCGGCGGGCGGCAGTGACGACTGGGCCAAGGGTGTGGCGGGCATCGAGCTCTCGTACACCATCGAGCTGCCGGGCGGCAACGGCCACGGCTTCGACCTGCCCGCCTCCTACATCCCGGACGTCGGGCGCCACCAAATGGAGCTGATCAAGGTGTTCGGCGACTACGTCGCGTCCATGAAGAAGTAACTTAGTCACGTCAGAAACTGACGAAACCCTGCCGGCGCCAAACCTACGTAAAGGATCTCGTATTACTTTATTCATAAACGTTAACTCTAATCGTGCTACGACGGACAGACTGATCACCGTTCCTAGGTCGTACCGAGCTTAAGAGAGCTTTAAATGTGAGCAATCTCCCGGGAACTAAATAAAATTGTGTACGATGTTCCTCTCCTTGGACGCTCCTGTTATTTATTGTATTTATTTGATAGATATAAGAGGAAATAAAAATTGTTAAACGAAAAGGCGAAACAAAAAACAACTTTCGAAACTGTAAGCCCTTGCCGCCAGAGCTGTTCGACACCACTCCCCTCCCCTCCCCTCCCCGCACGCCCGACCGACAGTGGGCAGTGGGCTGTGAGGGTGGGCAGCTAGCCTCACATACGTGCCCGGCGGGCTGGCCTACGCAGCGTTTAGCAGGCGCTACCACCCGGCGGGTTGGCCTACCCAGCGTCTAGCAGGCGCTACCATTAGATCCATGTTCTTTATGGGGGCGCCGCCAAGAGTCCCCCGCGGGACTTCACTGTCAGCTGCTCGTTGCGCTAGGGCCGTAATGGTCACGGGTGGGCAAACTGGTGGCCTACCACCCCGGCGCTAGGCGCAGAGCAGGGATGGTAGCATATTCCCACGGAGTTTTTCTGGGCTTTCCGAGCTGTGTTAAGGCACACAGTAGTTATTAAAAAAAAGAGCACTCAGTCTGAAACAGAAATTCGGAGCTCAATCTAGTAAATTTCTTTTGAAAATTCAGACCGGTTGGTCTGAAATGTAGTTTCAGAGCAAGAGACTTGATTTTTCAGTCCGAATCTTCTACTGAATTTTTAGATATTTTTTTACAGTGTATGTGAAAAAATCTATTTAGAAATAGTTGGCTCGATAGTTGGAAACTGTCTATCATTAACACAATATAGAACTGTAATATTTGCTTTGTTTTATTGTAAATTGTAGGGTGAGTGACACTAAACAACAGCTTTAAATTGCAAATTACAGGTACTAAATGATTGTGTGCTTTTTTTTCTTACAAAAATGACTAGGTTTTATTAACAAAAGAACAAACGCACTGCACGTACTAGGCGGCATAAAGGAAATCGAGACTCCGCGTTCAAACGCGCGGGGTATATCCACATGAAGACTCTGTTCCGCGGGGTATGTAGTCTGCCAGCGATCTCGTCGCACTTCCCTGCTTGCCGCCAGCGAGGCTCAGTCTAGTGTACTGTACAGTACATCTCGATACGTGTATCGAACCACGCAATACGCTCACGCGATGTTAAAACATGATTTTCTACTTTCCACCTCCTATTTCATAAAAGTAGAAAATAAACATGTCAGAGCTACGACACAACAAAGTTGCGGGTTTGCTTACCCCAAGGGCCATGGTGCCTAACGGGTATGGAGCGTGTGTGCGGGCAAACCCGCATACTGTTGTGTCGCAGCCCTAACACGCGGTACAATAATGATGAACTGGGCAGCCGCATTTCGCGTTTTCCAACCGACCAGGGCCACACCATACCGCACCACTTCCCGCGGGCCGCCGCCGCTACCATTCGTACCAACCGCATTCCCTGCCGCCTCCGGACTGTGCAGGTCCTGCGGAAATCTAAAGCCCTCTGGAATGCTGCCCAACAGCAATTCCCGCACCTGGGCAAACAATGTATTGCGTTCCACCCCCTCAGCCCCTCCCTCTTGACCCACCCCTCCTAGGCCACACTCTACCCAAGCCCAGCCCAGAGGGGCATAAATCAGAGCCCCGGCCGCGACTGGAGGCGGCGGCGTGTCAACGCGGGCGGCGGGCGGGCCACCTTGGGGCGGGCGCAGCGCGCGGCTCTGGCGGCTCCAGCGCCGGACGGGAAGAGACGGCGTCATTATTGCCACAGGTGTGATTTACATCCGGGTGGCGCTGCTGAGCGCGGTGAAGGGAAAGGGTGGAAATTATATTGGCTTTCCCTCCCTCCCCTCCTCCCGCCCTCCCTCCCACTGCCCCCGGTCCCTCTCGCTCCCTCTCACCCACACACATTATACGCGTGTTTGTGCCCTGTCCTGCTACAGATGCGGCTACACTCTCACAAGGGAACCCCGCCAAGTAGTGTAAATTCCCGATTTTCATTCTACTTTGGGAAATTGCAGGTCTAGATGTGTCATCGAAGGACACATCAAAAATTTTGGCTTAAATTGATATTATGTTGTTGTTTTTTTGGGGGGAGGGGGGGCATTCGTTCCAAAAGCTGCCATTTCAATTATTAAAAAAAAAAACCTTTCATTATTGCCCAACAATTTTCCAAAGTAGAATGAAAATCGGGAATTTACACTTGGCGGGGTTCCCTTGTCAGTCCCGTTGCACTGGTTGCACCACGGGGACGCCCCCAGGTGGGCCTTCCCTCCCTCCAACCCCCTCTAATCATACAGCAGGAGCAGTGGGACAAAGGCTGCACCCACCGACCCGCCCCGCAGCACCCCAGTCGGCACCCAAGTCTCTGCCACCCCCGCTCCCTTCCACTGGCCTCCCCCTTTCCAGCTTATCTCTCCGGCCTCCCTTTTCCTCCCGACTCTGCTGTGTAATTAGAAAAACGTCTACGTGTCCGGTGTCTCATTAGAAAAGTGTGCGCGGGAAGAGCTTCCTGACGGGGCGAGGGTGGGCGGCGGGGCAGGTGGCGCGAGAGAACCCGACCGCCGCCTCCAGGTAGGGGGACAGAGGATACAGCTGGCTTCTGGCGGGCAGAGTAGCGTAGTTCGCCACCCCGATTTCGTGAGTTAAATAGCCCAGAATCTTGGTATTTTTTTTTCAAAATTATGGCCGAGCTGTTATCGTACTTTCAGGTCCAGGGTCGAGGTCGTCGGGCCGCTCGACACCTGTGCGGCGGGTGCTGGCCCCGTCGTCACTCTTCCTCCACCCCACTCCACTGGCTCTTGGTCCCAGGGACTCCTCCTTTCAATTACCTTGGCGCGTGGCACACGGGCAGTGGAAAGGGGGGGGGGGGTGTCCACCTGAAGGAGTCACCCCGCGAGGTCGAGGAGGTCGGGCCGAGGCGAATTGAAGGAGGGGCACAGCGGCGCTGGGAATGCCGTGGGGGTGGGAG